ATGGATGGATGGATGGATGGATGGATGGATGGATGGATGGATGGATGGATGGATGGTTGGATATTAACATTAAAAATTTCAACATATTACAATTACATTTATCATGTACTTTTTCGTTAAACATGACCTGACCAGAGCAAAATAAACCAAAAAATAATTGTGATATAATAAAAACCATAGGGCAGGTGGTGTAAATAAAATGGCAACACGAACAATGTAAACTCAACAGATTTACTTTGATTCATTCACCTGAAAGTTTTTGCGCATATTTAAAAAAAAAAAAAAAAGATACATTTAAGGGTTAAATGAATCAATGGGCAATTCATAGGACAATTGAGTTAAATCAAGTATTTTTTTTTTTTTAAACCCAGGCTTTATAAGAAATGATAAGTCAGCTCATTAAGGCCTGCCCTGTATGTGGCTGGTCACAAACTGAAAGATCTGACACTTTTATGATCAATGAACATGCCATACAGTATTGCTAACACATGCAACACAAAAATATCACCTCTATTGGGAGTGTAAGTTACTCGTGTAAGAGGCTATTTTCCGTATAAGTCCGTATTTAAAAATTTAAGTAAGAGAAAGCACAGTAATATTAAAAGCTATTTATACAGAAACTATGTTTCCTATTAAGGAATTTTGATTGTTTAATCAGGTAACAAGGAAAAAGCAAATCTTTGAAGACTGCATGCCCTGCCCCTCACTAATCAAATCTTTACAAAACTGTTCATCAGAAATCACTGACCTGTGTTTCTTTTGATAAAACATTGCTAAACTTAAAACACTTCTATCTGCAATTTACACCTTAAGCTATTTATAAAGATTAGACATAGCATTAGGCACTTGTCTGCTGAAGGTAAAGTCTCAGACTGAGAGTGAGTAATGTCGGGACAGCATCCAGCCTACCTCCATGTGGCCGGCAGTAACACATAGCCTCAGGCCAGCCAGAAGCTGAGGTGGAGGGGGGGGTTATGACCAGGTAGTTTCAGGTTTGTGGCCAAGACTCGGAAATACCGCACGAAGCCCACTAATGGAGCAAATACCCATTACCTCAGCAGGTGCCCAGATACTATGTGAGCACTGCAAATGTTGTCTTTATATATCATAGAATATGATGTAACTGTGTTTACTCTTTCCAGTTCGTTTATTATATTCAAGACTTTGATGTTTTTCATGAACTTGCAGAGTGTCCCTAAAAGACACTGCCGTGCACAACACACACACACACTGTGCTAGGGAGAGGGATGTCTGTAATTCCTCCTGACAGCTGGACTCAATTACTCCCACTAGAGAGAGCTTTCCGAGGGATGGGTATTAAAGAGGTTTTCAAGCCTCTACTTCCCAGGAACTTGTTTGCAGGCACTCCCAAAACATGTTTCTGGAGAGAGACACGGTGGCCTAAAAAAAACTTTACTTCAAGATGTCCAACAATGTTGTTTATAATCGGGTTTAAAAAAAAAAAAAGTGCTGAATGTTGGAAACTGTTTATCATATACCAGTATTATGTTTACATTTTATCACTGCTGCACTTAAAAGATGGAAATGTCTTGAGAGCTGTACTGAGTGAAATTTCTTCTTGTATACACCCTGTGTATTCAAAATGACAATAAAGTCTGTCTAAGTCTAATGCTGGGTGTAAAGGGTTTTAAGAGCTCCTGGACTTTTACTCAGACTAACTGTTCTATCATTATGTTATAAATCCTGTTTTTTTTATTAAATCTGAGTTGACTACACTGGAGAGGTGATATAAAATCAACAAATTACATGGTAATTGGAATAAATTAATGTTAGTCTTTCAAGCTATACTGTACAATTAAAGGGATTTACACTGGATCCAGTCTAAACTATCACAAACAAAAACATATTAATAGACTATTTTTGCAAAACTGAGCATCTTGAGATTAAGGGCCTCGCCCAAGGAGAATGTGGCAAATGAGAAAGGTGTAATCAAACCTACGAGCCTGACCAGCCCTGATGATTGAACAACCAGTTGGAAACCTAAAAATAGAATTTTTGTCTGATCAATTAATGCACTGAGAGCTAAGAGGATGTACTGTTTACTCTTTGTTGCATTTCCACACTCTTTGGTGCAGAAGCTGTTGCTGAAAGAAGTGCTCGAAGTCAACATGTTGTTCATATTCTTGACTCAGCTGCATTAACATTGTTGCAGTGGTTTTTCCTGCCAGATAACATTTTTTCCAAATCACTTTGATGATGTTTTGTCAAATTTTAGTTAAAGTTATTGGCCCAAAGATGACTGAAGTTCATCCCAGGAAGAATGAAGGCATTAGAGCTAAATTTCTCTCTTTTATCCTTTTAAGCTTTTAATCTTGCTTTGTCATCAAACATTATGGATGCTTCCTGCTTTTAAATCTCTGTGAACAACTTTCCCTATAGGCATTATATACAGAAAATAATTTTAACAGACAAAAAAAACTCTTCTCCTAGAGGCATAAAAAATGCAAGAGTTACCAGGTCGAGCTGACAACGACAACTTTTGGTGTGGAGGTTAATACTGAATAAGGAAAATTCATTAGCCATTTTCAGGATAGGCTAGTTGTTTAAAAATGATGCCAGGGATTGCAATAGAACATTTGAGCAATCCTTAGAAACGTTGCCAGATAATAGGAAGGCTCGTCCAGAATAAAAAAGTTGCTCTTCTTGGGTTCTGTCTGTTTTGAAAGCTGCGGCATTTCGAAATAAAGGCAATGTTTTGTTAAGGTATGTGCTTATAATTATTGGATAATAAATGGAAAAAAAAAAGCTGTTTTTGTTAGATGTGCCAACCACACTGATTAAATAACAACAGATAAGTTTAAAAGGACACTTCTGGAATTACAATATCTTATTTTAATTTGTAAAATCCTATTTAACAGTTATTCATTTAATAAAAGTGCCTCTGCTGCTCTTCCTATGGCAGGAGAGCAAAAAATAAATCATCAAAATGCTGCTAATAAATTTTTTTTAAACAGTAACCCAACATTTGCAAGTCAAAGCTCTATTGACTTTAACCTGTTATACATCAACTTAACTGCCAATCCTAAAAATTCTGTTTGTTTTATGTTCTACTTACTGTTCTACTTACTGTTCTACTTACTGTACAACCGCAGCTTCACAAACACATAGAAATATTACATGGAAAAATTACATGGTGTAAGCTGAGAAATGCTTTCACTGATAAGGACATCATTTAAAAAAACAAAACAATCCCAGACTAAACAAGAGCAGAAGACAACTTACCAGACCTGCGATGGGGGTTGGGAGCCTGTTGACCCTTTTGATGATGCCAGGTTTGATCTTGTTTATCAGACTGTAAGCAGAGGAAAGAGATGAAAAACATCAGGGGAAATTAGAGGGTAAGTGAAAGCACCCGCTCATTGACAAAGCTACCCTAACTATGAAGGAATGAGCAGGAGTTGTTGCACAGTCCTGGTGGTGTTGCATGTTTACGACTTGGTTTAATGGTGGCCACCTGGCTTCAGTTTAGTAAATCACCAGTGCTGCACTATGGTGTAAACACAAATGGGCCCTCTCCTTCCAAAAACATGCACCCCTCCATAGAAGCAACCACAAAACAAGTCTGAACAGCCTTATTTAAACCAAGAAAACAGGTACAGTATGGTTACAGGTAAAGAGTAAAGACGTGCGGTTCCATTTAAATAACTTTGAAAGAAAGTTAAATAATACAAGTTAATACAGAAAGAGAACACAAAAAGAAGAAATTCATGAGCAATTAGCCTTTAAGATAAGCTCTTGGAAAACTTATTTTCATGCTATTGCACAAATAAATTATCTTTCAAAATGGCACTACAAAATCTGAGCATAGATAATTCAGGGAGGTCAGAGGGAGATTAAAAAAGTGTCCCATCACATCTTGGGAAATGTCAGCTGTTAATACAGGAAGAGAGACCAGGTCTTTAAACCAATAATAAGAAGGCTGAATGGAATATATATTTTTCTTGATTTTTAACTTTAAACCTCTATCTTCCCTGGAACATGAGATTTCAAGGCTGGGTCACAATGTTTTCCTCGAACTTTGCAAGCTGCGATACAAGTTTTTTTCTGTGCTACTGGCTGCATAGGGGAAGGGGAAGCAACACCTGTCCTAAAGTGCCAGTGTCCTGCAGCTTTTGCCTGCATACCTTCTTCAATACACCTGAAAAAATGAATGATTAAAGACCAGGTCTCTGCAAACCTATCGACACACCAAGAAGGTAATTTGGCCTTTTGTTTCAAGAGTGTTGGAGCAGGGATGCATGCAAAAGCTGCAGGACAGTGGCACTCAAGGAACGACAATGCCTATTCCTGCCATAGAGGCTCCCACTAATGGGCCTGATGTCTGGAGTTGTGCAAAACTCTGCAGCAATTATCACATTTGTCCCAGTGTCCCACAAATTGAAACAATGTCCTGCATTTGACTGGGTCCAATTTGCAATGACTTCTCTCTCTTAGACAAGCTAAATCACCTCTGCATTTCATATGAGTAATTAGAACCACAAGAGGAATAAGGGAGTCTTACACAAGCAATCCCAATCAGATGCCTAAACCAGCCTAATTGACCTATGTCAAGTAGAAGAAGCTCTACAAAAACTTGCATCTGGATGGTGGAGCTCTTCAAGTCATCTCTAAAAGAAGACATTACAGATGTCATGGACTTGAGATGATGGGGGGAATCTGAGTTAGACCTAAGGAACTAATTCTCCTTCAGCCATTTCACCTTTGTCTGCAAACAGCTCCTAATAGTTAAAACAATCTAACTAGAATCTTGATCCAATTACAATAGCTGAGCAGCTTTGAGTTAATCATCACTTTTAAGATCAATTAACCAGATGATGTCTTCAGGATAAGACAGCAGCTGAAACTGTGCAACACAAGTTCAAAAAAGATAAACACAGTTTAGGCAGTTATCCAAAGTACTTTCAATCAAGAGGGTTCAACAGTCAGAATATTTGTCTTTCGTCTTTGAACTAATTGTTAATGTTACACAGGCATTGCAGTGGTAAGTAATTTCTTTGCTTAAATTACTAGTTATGCAGGGACATAAATTAGTTTAGAAAGTTGGTAATGGTATGTTGTTAAATACCTGCAACTAAAGAAGCCATTATTTGAAACCAATGAACTTCTATAATGGCAAAAGAAATACACGCAAAAAAAAAAGAAAGAAATGGATCTTGATATGAAACGAAGCACTTTGCATGCTGTAGGTGTATGGGATTGGCTGCCAACAGATGTGAACAATGTCTGTAGAGAGGTACTTCGGTTCATGGTGGTCATTTAATAGTGAAACAATGGACCTTCATGAGATAAAACACAAAGACTTAAGTCTGAGTGGAATATAATCGTGTGAGAGCAACAGTGAACATTCCTTTCCAAGCAAGAAACTGTGATATCTGCAACACAATGGGACGAGGAGGTTGGGTTTGAAGGTGAAGGTGATTTAATCTGCCTTCCTCTTCCTCATGCTGACAAAACATGAACAGCTTGATGATTGAAAAAAAATGCTTATGGTCTTAACTGAAGTCAGGCTCCAATCAGCAGAGTGAGGTGGTTCTTCTTCCTCAAAAGGCTGCCGATAAAGGTTTAGAAGACTCTGCACGGTCTGCTGGTAATTACAGCCTCCTGCTGATATGTGCAAATCACATCACTATGTCCGTTAGGCAGTTTGCAGAAATGCGCAGTCATGCATGCAGTTTAATTTGGCTCTACCTTAAAAATCCTCTCAAACAAGATAAGTGTTAAAAAAATGTTGCAAAGATGCATCCATTTGGGTAAATTAGAAGCAAGCCTTGTATCTTACTCTGGTCTAAACTGAAGCTCTTTCATCCACTGCACAGCTTGTCATTACAGCAAGGATGGCACCCAGCCCAAGCCGCTGATCTATAACATCTGTCCAACAGACAACTTCTCTCCTCTGGAAAGGCATCCCTCTTTCCATCAATGCATGAGAGAAGGTCTAACCGTGATAACATCAAATAACTACAAATAACAGCCTCCATTGTTCTGCCTGGAAAACTCTGGCTCAGTTTATGCAGCTAACAAACAAACAGTGGCCTGGCAGGAGGTCTGCCTGGGAAATATCAGCAACACTTACTTTTGGAGAGCAGACGTGGAGGAGAGCCGAGAGATTCCTTATGAATGAGTGGCACTAATAGAGGTGCCTGGGAAAACAGGAGTACTTACTCACACAGCAGAACTCCGTTCTCCAGGGCTGATCGGAAGTCGCCGTTCCCAAATTTTTTCTTAGTTACAGCCTGGAGAAAAAAAAAAAAAAGAAGCAAGAATACAAGAACAGTGAGCAAAAACAGCGTGCAACGGTTGAGTGTATGTGTGTGTGGGGGGGTTTAGAGTGTAATAAGGGTGGGGAAGGTTGGAGAATAAAGGTAGGATGTTGAGAACAGTAGCAGGGGAAGTCAGAGGTATTTCCTCTCAAGTTCCTACACTGTTGGGCAGCGTTAAGTAAAGTGCTCCAGGTATCCCTTAGGCAGGCTGAAGTGAGTGTATTTGTCTCACTTTAATGCTGGGAGCTGCTAGGGAATGCGAGGGCTGTGTTAAAGCTGCACTGGAGTCAGTCTGCAGAAGCCACGAGGCTGGAACACTAGAGGAGCACACCACTGTGTTACAGCCTCATGCTTTTCCCATGATCTCAAACTGCTGCTGCAGAAACACCAGGAACCATTATGTAAGCAAACACGCACACTGCATGAATTCATGGCAGGCAGGCAGCCTCAAACATATGCAGTGTCGACACTGATATAAACATTTCGGAACTTTACTGTAATAAGTGCCTCTGTTTCAGATGCAGCAGCCCTTTTTAACTAACATTCTAACAATATTTGTACACACAAAAATATCTTTAATGTTTTATATGGGCTCCATAGTGGCACAGTTTGTATAGGGGTTGCCTTGCAGGAAAAAGGTTGCAGTTTCGAGTCCTGGCCCAGGGTTCTTTCTGCATGTAGTTTGCATGATCTCCCCAAGCATGCATTGTTCCTCTATGGGTACTCTGGCTTGCCTCTCACAGTCCAAAAACATGACTGTTAGGTTAATTGGCATCTCTTAATTGTCCTTAGGTGGGCCAGTCTACCATCTTGCCCATAGACTGCCAGAGATGGGAACTGGCCAAACCACGACCCTGGCGGAATAAGCAGGAGATTGATGGATAAGCTCATGCTGTTAGTCACTTCCTGCAATGCTTTGCTTGGATACATCCCTGTCAAATACAATTTAAAAAATTAACACTGTAGTTCCATTCCATACTGAGTATTTCTTGAGATTTCATCACTAAAAGAATCTATACATTTGCAAATGAGTGGAGAAATATGTGCTAGATCCATAAGGAAATGTGTTATTTAATTCATATAAAATCTGGATCATGAATAAATATTTATTTCAAACATTATTTAGGAAAGTTATTCATGGATGGATGGATGGATGGACAAAAGGAGGGACGGACAGATGAATGAATGTAAGTGTGCCCTCCCGTGGCATCAGTATTAATAATAAATCAAGTCCAGATAAAGTTTAAGCGTGGTCTCACTGTTCTCCGAGTTTCATACTGCCGTTAACTGGCTCAACATATGTTTAACAGTGAACTGTAATATTACATAATTCCTGTTTTCCTCATGTATTTGCAAATATAAACTCACAATATACGTGCCGATATCCCTCACTGATGTGAGTTTAAAAAATAAAACCAGCAAAGCAGAATGGCACTGGGTGTAATAGGTAAGAGTAGCAACACTTGCCATGCTTTTTAAATCCACTTTGGCAGACAGATTTAGTTAAGTGAACCTGCTGTTGTTCTAGCTAATTCTATAAATTTCAAATAAAGAACTTTTAGTTTTGATCTTTGGGAATTCATGTTGTAGTTGAAATGAGTAGCAGGTGGCACAAAATTACAAAATGAAATGTAGCAACATCTGGTGACAGAGTTAAAAAAAATAATAATAATTTTTTACCAGAAACATATTGAAATCCAACTAAATAGATATTTCGTTTTAGCAAAAACAAGGACAAGATTCTGATGTATTGAATATCCAGAGCTTATTAACCAAATACAAATCAGCCACCCCAGACTGGCTTCTTGTAAATACTTAAATATAAAACTGAGACAGTCCTTTAAAGAGCCAAAAAAAAAACAGAGTCCTTCAGGGACTTACTGCCAGATAAATTTTTATTATAGTCCTCTTTTAATTATCAGTTTCTACACAAAATCCAGATTCACACCAGTACTGATTAAACTGAGCTAATGAGTGCTGTTTAGTCAGTAGTCACTAAACAGAACATAATCAATCTGACAGTTTTAGAAGCAATGGCTCATGGGAGTTCTAAGCTTGCTTTTAAATGTACAGTATTTAGCTTTAGCCCCATTTATTTTTAAGTGCAAGACTGTTTCCTTTTTGTTAATTCAGTCAGTGCAAAACTATCCTGATGTCAACATTTTTAACAGGGGAGTTTTTGTTTGCTATTGTTTTAAACAAGAATAGCAAGATATAGGAGAAGGGTTGCAACGACAGCATGTAACCAAGTATTGTTGTTACCTTTTATAAAACATATGCAGTATAAAACCTCTCAGACACAATGCAAAACAAGCTAAACAGGTCTCCTTTACTATAACAGGCAGGTGTGTTTTGGTTCCTGGACTACTGTCGTACTTCAAAGTCAATTTGAGAAAAACTCTAATGTTAGGTACATTATTATGGACAGGTGAAACCAGAACAGTTAGGGGTAATTAAAAGTAACTATTATCATTTTCAAACAATTTGTGCTACACCTCAGAACACGCCCTGGGAAACACAAGATGGCCAAGGCCTTAAATACTTGTCATTCCATGAGAATTAGACCACGGCATGATAGATGAACAGGATTAAAGTTCTCACACACTTCCACTGCTTCTGTCTTTGCACAGTGGGATCAGGCAAAATAGTAAGTATAATTGTTCTGTTGCCAAAACAAAACAAGGGCTCAGACTGCTTATTTTTCATTGAGAAAATGGCTATCCCAGATAAACCCCCCAAAAACTCCTAAACACCGCAGACCTGCACACGAGGGAGCAGTTATTACAATAAAAGTGAAAACAGCACTCTGTAATAAACCAGGCTCTCTATTTGGCATAAGAAATCCTGACCCCTGCTGTTGTATGGATGCGTGAGCAAGCTGTTAGGATTAACTTGCATGCAAATAAACAATAGAGGTGGAAACAGCTCAGTAAGGATGATTGCATCTCTCATCCTCTTTCCAAAGGGTTTCCCTTTGATGTTATTCTCCCCTCAAATTTTCTTATCAAAAGTGACATCAGCTAATCAGATTGAAAGAGGACAATAGAACATTAAGGGTGGGAACGTCCCTGGCACAAAGCTTGATGTGCTGTAACAAAATCCTAGTCTGCTCCACTGTCATTAAAGACACCATCAAGATCAACAGCTCTGATCTGGAACAGCTGAGCTGAGCGATTAGACGGAGGAGCGAAAGCAACACTAAAAAAAATAAATACCTAATGGATTTTATTCAACTAACACAAAGTATAGAAGGGTTATGAAGGGGTTGGAAAAGGATCCATTAATCTATCCATCTGTCTGTTGTCCATGTCTTACTATCTTCTCTTTTTGCATCAGATGCATAGCCAAGAGACCCAAAGTAACGCTGAAGGAACTACAAAATCAGAAGACCAAAAAAAAAAAAACGCTTATGTTGCAGAACCTCTAAACACTACACCTATTAGCCGTATGTTTTGTCAATTTTTTAAGATTTAATGGACGTTTTCTTTGAAGTTTGCTATAAGAGAAAGTTGTTTTTCTTTTTTTTCCTTTTTTTTTTATCTAAAACAGAGAGAAAAACCCCAACACTGCACCTTACGATGAGCAAAGCATTCTGGAAATGAAACACAGTGTTTACATTGTCATGTGAGCCTTACAGTCATCTAATTCTGCTGACCCTGTAAAACTGTGGAAGAGTTTCACCAACCGCATATATCTAATCTTACTGAGGTAAAGCTATTTTGATATCTATGGCCACAAATTCAGACTACAGATATGCATAGCTGGTAGTGACACAGGCAACAGACTTGTAGCCAGGGATGCATTTAATGGCTGTAAATGCAGTGAAAGGGTGAACAAAACTACCATATAGCAGTGAAAGGGTGAACAAAACTACCATATATCCTCTTCCATCTACTGTAAAGCCACACTCAAAAATGTAATCAAAATGTTCACAAACTCTAAAAAAAGTTCAAAGGGTTATAAATGCTTCCACAGCCTTAATATGAACCCCAGGAGTCCATGTTTCTTTATGCAATCTGGGCAGCAATAGTGTAGCTCCAGACCATTCATTGTTCCTGAAATTCTTTGTGCTTCAAGCATGGAGGTATGGGTCAGCAGAAGGAACATTATTCACATACTTTGAGGTTTTGTATTGAAAACAAACCATTTTCAGCTGTGGAATCCATTAGTTTCACCCCTGGTAAAACTATTTTTACACTAAAGTGAATGGCTTCCTGTGTCAAAACCTGTTTCTTGTTGATACACAGGAAAGCATGGGGCTTTGGCTCTAATTACTTTCTGTCATTACATTCAAAAGGCTCAGAATGGTGCTAAAGCAAGGGTGACTAATGGTCAGTCCAGATTCATAGCTTCTATCATGGTAAACAATACAGCAGCATGAGTTGTAGAGAGCAAGAGTTTCCCCTGCAGAACCTCTCTCAGTGATTATTAATTTCATTCCAGAAATTCCCTAAAACACAATAAAAATGTCCATAGAAAGAGATCAACTTGGGGATCTTGCTGTTATGACTGATATTACTTTGTAGCAAAAACAGAGCCATTTAAAACACATTTTGCAAATTATCCAGGAAAGCGTCCAAAAAACATTGCTTCAGATGGGCTGTAAATTTCCTTTTCATACAGTTTCTATGGATGGTGACAAAAAGATACGGTATTACTTTTGTTTTGCCATTTCTAGGAAGGACGGCCAATATAAATAACCTGGTGCGTGCAATTCCTGTGTTCTTGGTAACATGGATGGAAAAAAATTACATGTGATTCAAGTTTTAAACAAATCACAATAACAACATTTGATCCACAATCTTAAACTACTTAAACTAATTTATTCTCCATTGTTTGATCAACTTTTGGAATAGAAATCTAGACAGCTGCTTAAAAATTGGCCGTTCTTAAATTACTGAACCTTAGTATCAATACCAGTGTAGATATGACCAGTAGCATAGTTTAATATGTTTAAAAATAAGAAAAGACAA